AGGGCGAAGCCATATACGAAATAGAACTGACCTGAGATGCAGCCCTCGTGATGACACGTTAGGCTCGTGTTGTGTTCAAGGACCCTGACCTTGGCCAGGAAAAACAGGCACTCGCTTGTTTAATTCTTTTGCGGTCTAGATTTCTTTAATTTTTTTCTTTTTTGCGTGTGTTTATAAATTACCTCTAGGGCCGTACCAAATGGTCTTGCGGTCCGTATACGGCCCGGAGGCCGGAGGTTCCCCACCCCTGCTCTAACAGCTAACCAGTGCAGTCAAAATGGCCGTCAGAATGGGGCCCTGTGGGTGTACCTCAAGCCCCCAGGAAGTGCGCCGGGCTCTGAGGAAAATATTTGTTGTGGCCAAACGGCGGTACTACACTTCCGTATCAGTCACTGGGCCCGGAAACACTTTTTCCCATTGACTAACATTGGGAAAAGAGATATCTGTAAATCGTTGGATAATTCTTTTTTAAACTAAATAAACTACCCAGTATGAACATTTGTATAGCCCTTATTAAAAACATTAGGTCCTCAAGTAGTAAAATGTGCTAATAACGTTATTCTGAGTTATTTTCCTCGGCATTATGAACGCGGATCTAACCCACGGGACCGCGCCGCCCGGCACGTTCATGTGACGTGTTCAGTACTACATGAGTTTTACCTTTACCCATGGATGCACAATAAGAACGGACCCATATCGCCTTACTGCCAGCCCACGGAGCTGTAATAATGGATATATTGCACATGTTTGCTGTAATTCATCATTTGTAAAATCTTATACTACATGGGCTGTATGATGTAAATCTTGTACCGTAAATGTTGAATTAAATAAAGTTAATATTACCGACGTAGATTAACGTCCCTGTAGCTTCTTAGTGCAATTGCAATACCATTAAAAGGAGTTTAACGTAGCTGTTTGCTATTACTATAAAATACCACGCAGGGATAAGCCAGAGCGTACAACCTTTGCATGTGGGCACAACACGTTTTGACCCAGTTTGATTCATTCGCTATACCATATGATATCGCCCGGGGAATTCGACATACTTATACATATATAAATACAGATATATGTGTCAAAGCTCTAATCAAATTAACAGTTGTATTAATTGTATTAATTATAATTGTATATATATATATGTATATATATATATATATATATATATATATATATATATATATATATATATATATATATATATATATATATATGTATAGCCTGGGTTGTATATTTACTAAATACAAAATAATTTTTTTTAGCACCCATTGACTAGAGTGGCCGCGATTGTTGCGAACGCCGCGGCGCAGCCGTAACGCGACGCAGACGGACCCGGTGGAATCTAGGGGTTAGATAAGCTATCTGGCCGTGTGTGGTTTGTGAGGGCTACGTATAAACAGTGTCCGCTGTTTATGCATATTGATAAAAATCGTTATTGCACCCTTTAGATTTGAGACCAACAGACATATAGAAGAACGGACCGACTGTCACTGCCCGTCCCTGAAATCCCCGTTAGTGTTTGTATGTGTTTGTTTCTACTGTGTGTGTGTCTCTCTCTTCTCTCTCCTGGTGGTCTGCTCTACACGGCTGGGAGCAATCTGCAATCAACCACACCTGCAACCTGCTCATCAGCCACACTATGAAAGCCTGCAGCCTGCACTCATTCCCTGCCGGATTGTTGCCGTGAACGGTTTGTTGCGTGCCGCTCTAGCTTTTTGCCAGCATATTCTTTGACAACTTTGCCTGCTTTTGCCCACACTCATTTGTATGTCTCTCCCAGGAGGAATCCAAAGCCTTCCACACTCCCAAGACCAGCCAGGCCTCTCTACCCACCCTGGAACAACTGTTTCCCACTGCCGCCACAACCAACCGCCACAACCCAGTTCCCCTTTTCTAATAAACAAATGTTACTTTCATCAGCTGATTCCGAGTCTGATTCTGGGTCCCCTCCAGTACATGTGACACCGACAGTGACTTGTACTAGCTGCTGGTCGCATTTAAAAAAAAGAAGAAAAGACTTCTGATAAATCGGAACGATAAAGCATCTTATCCTACTCTAAAATAATAACATTCTGACAACATAAAAAAATCTAACATGCAGCTGAAAACGTTTTAAGAATAGTAGGGCATAATGTTCGAACAATGTTATCAAAAACATTTGAAGAAGGTTATTACCAAACATCTTAAGAAAGTTATCACCAAACATTTTAAGAATGTTTTTAGAGAACGTTATCCTACCTTTCAGAAGAACATTCTGGGAACCAAAAGAAAACTTCCCGCTGAAAACATTCCTAGAACAGTGAATGGTAACATTCTCAGAATGTTTTTAGAACCAAAGATTTCTAGCTGGGAACCCATTTCTGACTTGCATGGAGCTAACGCTAGCCGGAGCCGCAAACTACGCCACGCCGCCGGAACATCACTGGCGCCAACTAACCCTTTCATCATGCCGACAAAGGAGCAAGCACAGCCAAATAGTGAGTTTTCTAACCCCCTTTCCACCAAAATGTGACCGTTTAATGAGCATGGTATCACAACACAGTCTCGCGGCATTTCGTGTTATAGTCACGAAATTAATCTATTGATTCGTGTTCACCAACACAATTTTGCCATTTTTTTTTAGTCACACAACGATTTTAAAAGCAATGTAAATAATAACAAATTAGAAGGAAAAACAGATTAAAAAAAATACAGATTTCAGTATTCTGACACAGAACAATTTTAGAAGCAATGTATTTCTATTGGTAGTATGTTTCGTGCCTGCACCAAATAATAACAAATTAGAAGGAAAAAAAGATGACAAAAAATACAGATTTCAGTATTCTGAGGCTCTTTAACCCATTATACGACGACATTATACAATTTAAAATAAAATGGATAGGGTTAGGCTTAAGGTAAGATATTGAGTAAGAAAATGTTTTTATGAACCACACAGCTTCTGGTATTCCAAGACCCGACCGGACAAAAATACGTGGTGCAGGCACGAAACATACTACCAATAGAAATACATTGCTTTTAAAATCGTTCTGTGTAACACGAAAAAAAAGGGGAAAATCGTGTTGGTGAACACAAATCAATAGATTAAATTAAATTTTGTGGCTATAACACGAAATGCCGCGAGACTGTGTTGTAAACACGGTAAAAAAATGCATTCATCATCATAATTATTCTATATATATAATTTACACAGTGCCTGTAAACCGGAGGAGAACGCTGGCATTTCTCCTCCTACTTGAAAGACTACTACGTTACGGCTGCGCCGCGACAAAAATAGGATTCGATCCTAATTTTAGAGGAGCCCTGCGCCGAGACGCTTCTGGGACGCTTCTGAGCCGTAACGCGCCGCGTGTGGTGGAATAGCACCCATTGACTAGAGTGGCCGCGATCGCCGTGAGCACCGCGGCGCAGCTGTAACGCGCCCGTAACGCGCCGCAGACAGACCCGGTGGAATCTAGGGGTAAGCAGTTCATTGAAAGAGGGCTTACATTTTGACAGTTTCAACCTAAGAAATAGTATAACCTAAGAAATATTCTTCAGGGGCCAGCTGCACCAACTGAATGTACTGTATAAAAGTCAGGTCTAGGCCCTAGACCGGCCTACTTTACCATGATTTGTGTACAAAATGTCAGAATACCAACATTTCATGTAGGCTATTGAAAACGACCAGCATAGTTACACCATGGGCTTTCAGCGAATACTCTAAATTCAAATTGCTGAGCAAAACTCAGAGGAGCCGACAAGTCAGCTTGTCACTAAAATGAGAACAGCTGGTCCACCTTAAAAGTTAGCCTGAGCCAAAGTTGTCGCTAACCCCTTTCACTTTAATCAGCAAGTGACAAGCAAGACACAGGAACTTGTCATGTAAACAAACTCAGGGCTGCCAACACTCACGCATTGAGCATGAGAGTCACGCAATTAACCCATATCTCACGCACTCACGCCACACATGCCTTTCCTCACGCTAAGTTTTCGTCCAAAATAAATGTATATAAATGTAAAAATAAAGTGAAGGAACAGTAAACCGAGTGGTCTACGGAATGAGACGGTCTTCTGGCTTAGTTCAGTAAAGTTGGAACGATATTGGGAGATTCGGATTTCAATAACTCATGAACAAAACGTTATTCAGACACAAATGATGTCTCCTAAGTACCGTGGTAAGGACAACGAACTACAATCACATTTTGATCAAAAAAAGCCAATACGCGCCGTCCTCCGAGCTGGGCACATTACATTGGTCTGTATCCGCAGCCGGAGAAGAAACGAGTGCTCAGGGACCGTCTGCAAAGTGCAACTCCGAAAAAAGAGAAAATAGTATTCACTATTATACAGTATATTACTACCAAACTCACCACACACATCAATAGTCTCCTGTGTGTCATACTACAGCAAGGAGTTTGGAAGAATATGCTTTTGAATAATTTTGGGGAATATTTATAATAATAAATATGGCATTATCTTGAATAACTTTACTATTATAGAGTATATTTCTACCAAATTCACTATTTGCATTGTTGTTGGTTAGCTAGCTGCGCTAACAGATATTATAAGCTGTTTCTAAAAAAAAGGAGAGGGAGAGCTCTGTCCTGTCAGACTGAGAGAGATAACTACAGCTCAGTGAGGTAAGGGACTCTCTGAGTGTTTAGATCAGTGGTCCCCAAACTAAGGCCTGCGGGCCGGATACGGCCCGCCTCCACATTTGGCCCGGCCCCCTGAACAATACCAGAGACGCGTTATGATTTTTTTTTCAGTCTGGCCACGCGAATCCTAGACTAGCCCCTGTCAAATAGAACGGAATAATGGCGAAAAGGTTAGGTAAGAGAAAAATTGATTCAGAATGCAGGGTATTTAACCTGCAGTGGTCAAACGATTATTTTTTTGTTCAATGGAAAGAAAAGGCTGTTTGTCTCATCTGTCAAGAGGCGGTGGCGGTATTCAAAGAATACAATCTGCGCCGACACTATGAATCCCGTCACAAAGACAAGTATGATAACTTGCAAGGCCAAATGCGAGCAGACAAACTCTCAAAGCTAAAAAGTGGACTGTTAGCTCAGCAGAATACATTTGTACGCCAAGCTCAGCTGAACCAGTCATCTGTTCGGGCCAGCTTTCGGGTTGCTCAACTGATAGCAAGCAGCGGTAAACCTTTCACTGATGGAGAGTTTGTCAAGAAATGTTTGAATGCTGTCGCGGAAGAGGTGTGTCCCGAGAAGAAAGATGTCTTTAATGCCGTGAGTCTGTCGGCGAGTACAATCACCAGACGCATTGAAGAAATCGGGGGTAATGTATATGCCCAGCTGCAGCAGAAGACGAAAGAATTTGACTTTTTTTCATTAGCACTGGATGAGAGCACGGACGTGCAAGACACAGCGCAGCTGCTCATTTTTATTCGCGGAGTTAGCGCAAACTTTGAGATGTGCGAGGAGCTGGCAGCCCTCCAAAGTCTCAAAGGGACTACAACGGGGGAGGATATTTTCGGCAAAGTATGCCAAACCATGGAAGAGTTGGACCTAGACTGGTCAAAGCTTGCCAGCATCACGACTGACGGGGCTCCTAGTATGGTGGGCGCGTCTCGGGGTCTAATAGGACGCATGAACCGGGAGATGGAAGAACGGGGTCTCACCGCCCCGCTACAAATCCACTGCCTAATTCACCAGCAAGCACTGTGCTGCAAAGTGTTGAAGTGGGATTCTGTCATGAAGGTTGTGGTGTCATGCATAAACTTCATCAGAGCAAAGGGACTTAAACACAGGCAGTTCCAACAATTCCTGTCTGAACTGGAGTCTGCGCACGGCGATGTGCTGTACTACACAGAGGTCCGATGGTTGAGCCGGGGCAGAGTTTTGAGGCGTTTTTACGAGCTGCTACCCGAAATTAACGCATTTCTTCATTCAAAAGACAAAACGGTCCCAGAGCTGATCGACCCAGAATGGAAATGGCACCTCGCATTTTTAACAGACGTGACAGAAATGCTGAACGGCCTTAACTTGCAGCTACAAGGCCAGGGGAAACTCATTTGCGACATGTATTCTCACATAAAAGCATTTGAGGTGAAACTTGCGCTGCTTTTGGAACAAGTGAAAAAGCACAACTTCATCCATCTCCCTGCTACCCAAAACCTCTCTGCAGAGAACCCAGCGGTCCCGTTCCCAGCTGAAAAGTGTGTGGAAGCACTGGAAATGCTGAAGGCGAAGTTCGGTGTGCGATTCCGGCAACTACGTGTTAATGCAAAAGAAATCCGTCTTTTTCAGAACCCCTTTCTTGCCGACATCGATGAAGCCCAGCCTTCTTATCAGTTTGAGTTGGCCGAGTTACAGAACTGTGATGTTCTGAAAGACGCATTCAAGCCCAACAGTCTCATTGACTTCTATGCCGCCCTCCCAAACGACACGTACCCTAACATAAAAAAACACGCAATGAAGATGTTTACACTTTTTGGCAGCACGTATATCTGCGAGCAAACCTTTTCACACATGAAACACCTGAAAACTCAGATGAGATCAAGATTGACAGATGAACATCTGCATCAGTGTTTGAGACTGGCTGTGACTAGAATGGAACCTGACATTCAACTTCTCACCAGCCAGATGCAGGCCCACAGTTCACACTGATGAACATACATAGGTAAGATCACTTTTCTGACTTTTCTGAGTATAAACAAATTTAATCATAATAAAATCTACTGGGATAAAATCCATCTCCACAACCATACTGGTAGTGAAATGTATTGTGCTGTGTAGGTGCTGTATCACTTAGTTCGGTTTCTCAGCCTGCTTGCTTTGTGGTTTTCACAGGGAAGTTGATGAGAGAGAGCTGCAAACAGCGGTGTCTACAAGCCTACTGGAACCTACAAAAGGATTATAAGGAAGGAACACAAGAACTTTGAGAGACTGCTCATATGAGTCATTTGAGTAAGAGATTCTGCTCTGACAACTAAGCTAAACTTTTACCTGTTAAGATTGTGCACGGCACAACAGAAAGTTAATGTTCAGTGGACTTTTTTTCTGTGAAGAACCCAGAGAGGGTTATTTGGTTATTTATTTCATTAATAGTGTTATTATTTATTTCCTGACTTTTTTTCTGTGAAGATCCCGGAAAAGGTTATTAATATTTGGTTATGTGTGGCTTTCTGGAAAACAATAAATGTTTACGTTTAGGCACCCCTGCGATCGTCACACTTTTTCTGTTACAAACTGACCCCGGCCCCCATCAGAGAAGGGAAAAGTTATGTGGCCCTCACAGGAAAACGTTTGGGGACCCCTGGTTTAGATAGTTAACTTTAGTCTAGTTATCTCAGTGGGTCTCAAACGTTTTGGTCACCATTTATGAGAATAAATTAAAAACAGTAAAACAAGAATACAGTTTGAAAGGGGAGTGATTTGTAAAATATCCATAAAGAAAAAGAAAATCTGTTTACAGTTCTGTTTCATATGGGTGTTGAGAGATGTATCCATAAATTCATTTTGCTCTCAAAGTGCACCAGGTTGATGAATTTAACTTCAATATTTAAAAAGAAATAAATCTTCCAGGGGGAGCATGCCCCCGGACCCCCCTAGAGGAGGTGAGGACCCCCCCCCCCCCACACTTATAAAATAGCACTTGATTGTAAGAGTCGCGGGTACACTGTGTATGTGCGTATTCCACTGTAGCGCCCGTTACATTAATGGGAAACCTTAGTTTGTACATGTTCAATACATTTGTAACACTGTACACATCAAATCAAATCAGGTTTTATTTATATAGCACATTTAAAAGCGATTTTTGGTCGAGCCAAAGTGCTGTACATGTAATAAAAACACATTACTACAAATCACAATAAACGACAATAAATTACAACAGATATATCTTAAAAACAAAATAAAAATAAAACACACGGAAAAGTCAGGAGTCATGCTCCGCTCTAACTAGAAGGCCAGAGAGAAGAAGTGTGTTTTTAGTGTAGATTTAAAAACCCCTAGGGTCTGGGCCGACCTCACATGGAGGGGCAGAGTGTTCCAGAGCCTAGGGCCAGCTGCTGCGAAGGCTCGGTGCCCTCTGGTTTTTAGCCTGGTCTTGGGCACTACCAGCAGCAGCTGGTCAGCAGACCTTAAAGCTCTGGCTGGGGTGTAGCGCTGGAGCAGTTCAGCTATATAGGCCGGAGCCAGCCCATTTAGTGCTTTAAAAACAAATAAAAGGATTTTAAATCAATTCTGAACCGAACTGGAAGCCAGTGTAGTGAGGCCAGAATAGGGGTGATGTGGTCGCGCTTTTTGTGGCCAGTCAGCAAACGTGCAGCAGCGTTTTGGACTAGCTGTAAGCGTTTAATTGAGGCCTGGTCCATACCCACATACAGAGCGTTACAATAGTCCAGTCTCGAGGTTACAAAGGCGTTAATAACCCTTTCTAAGTCATTAAAAGATAAATACGACTTGGTTTTGGCCAATAGTCTTATTTTAAAAAAGCAGGATTTTACTACGGTGCTGACCTGCTTGTCGAATTTAAAAGTGCTAGTGAAGGTCACTCCAAGGTTCATGACCGAGGGGAGGATGTTTTTTTTGATAGAGCCCAGAATATCAACCGGAGAGGCTGGAGGTTGCGGTCCAAAAAAGATGACCTCGGTCTTGCTCTCGTTGAGGTTGAGGAAGTTTTTGCTCAGCCAGGATTTTATCTCTGCTAAGCAGTCCATCAGCTGCTGTAGTGAGTGTGTGACATTTGCTTTGAGAGGCAGATAGATCTGTACATCGTCGGCGTAGCAGTGGAAGGGAATGTTATGTTTTGTGAGTATTGAACCTAGGGGCAGTATGTACAGTAGAAAAAGGATGGGGCCCAGAATCGAGCCTTGGGGAACCCCACAGGTAAGAGGGGCTTTGGCAGAGGAGAAGGCACCTAGCTGTACCGAGAAGCTACGGTCTGTCAGGTAGGACCTGAACCATGCAAGGGCAGAGCCTGTTATGCCAGCGGACTGTTCAAGCCGTGACAGCAGGATGCTATGGTCCACAGTGTCAAAGGCAGCTGTCAGGTCTAACAGCACCAAGACAGCTGGGCTACCTGAGTCGGCGGCTAGGAGCAGATCATTAAAAACTCTTAAAAGGGCTGTTTCAGTGCTGTGCATGGGTTTAAAGCCAGACTGAAACTTTTCATGGATTCCATGGATGGTTAAAAAGGACTGCAGCTGGGCGTAGACTACTCGCTCCAGGGCTTTTGATAAAAAAGGTAGCGGGGAGATGGGCCTAAAATTTGCGAGAATGGAGGGGTCGAGATTTTTCTTTTTAAGGAGTGGCTTAACCACGGCATGTTTGAAGGCAGCTGGGACACATCCTGAGGTAAGAGAGGTGTTTAAAAGTAATAAAATACTTGCTCCAACTGAATCAAAAACATCTCTGAGAAGGCGAGAGGGAATGCTGTTTGAGGTGCAGTTTGTCGGCCGCAGGTGCTTGACTACATCCGAGAGAGAAGAGAGGGATACAGGCTCAAAGTGGTCGAGGACAGCAGGGCACAGAAAAGGAGCAGGATCTGGGGTAGCACTAGTGTGGGCTAGCCTAAGAGCAGATACCTTTTCAATAAAAAATGTAAGAAACTTATCACAGAGAGTAGTCGATGGGACAATAGAAGAAACATCACAGGGATTAATGATAGAGTTGAGGACATTAAAAAGAACCTGAGGTTTATGGCTGTTTTTGGAGATTAACAGAGAAATGTGCTCTGTTTTGGCTGCTTTGACTGCCGTCTGGTAGTCCAGAAAGGCAAGCACGAAGGATTTCTAGGGAGACATGGAGTTTATCCTTTTTCCATTTTCTCTCTGCACGCCTGCAAGCGCGTCTGAGAGCACGAGTACAGTCATTGAGCCACGGCTCTGATAGAACTTTGGTGCGTCTAAGCGTAAAAGGAGCAACAGAATCCAGTATTAGTGTGCATGTCGAATAAAACATGGAGATAAGCTCATCAGCATTAAAAGCACAGTTCACATCTAATTTACAGATCGGAGAAGCATTAAAAACATCAGAGAACTGTGAGGCAGTCAAGGGGTTAATCGAACGCAGACGACGCGCCGGGGCACGTGATTCGACTCCTGCGGAAGGGATGTAGGTTGTAAACAAAACCGGTAAATGGTCTGAGATACGCGTTGCTGCACATATTTCATCCACAGATACAGACAGTCCAAACGATAATACTAAGTCCAAAGTGTGTCCTTTTTCGTGTGTTGGGCCAGCCACGGACTGAACGAGACCAAAGGAATCAAGAGCCGCGTTCACACAAGTACTTTCCTGTACTTAGTTCCGGCACTAAGAGCCCCGGCGCTTTTAACCCCAGGGCACTTAGTACAGATCGCGTTCACACCGGAGTACTTTTCCCTGAGGGAAGATTACGCAAATGAGTAGCTGACGTCACTTCTTCTTCTTCTTCTGCTTTGGCTTTACTGGCAGGCCACAAACCACTTCACGGCGAGTACAGTAGGTGGCGGTAAGCACCTTAAAGTTGTTTGCAATCCGCTACAAAACAAGAGAAGAAGAAGAAGAAAAACTTCCCGCGTATACTGTCTGTTGTTTACCTTCCGACCTCAGACATGATGGAGATGGAGTCGACTGAAGTTGTGCTGTTTGTGCTCATGTTATACAGCTTTGTAACTTCGTTAATGCGGCCTGAGCCTATTAGGCGTCCGACACAAATCCGGAGCCGCCACACGTTGAATGCTATAATGGCAAAGTTTCTTCAGCATCAAAGGCAGTTTAAAAGCCTTAGGAAAAGGATTGGCCGACGGAAAGCACACATGACTGCCATGTTTCACCGTAGGATGGCTGATGACGATGAGCGTTTTCACGCCCTAAGAACAGCAATGGTAAGTTCAGTAAATTATTAATACTATCTAATGTAGGATTTGTGGAGTTATGTAGAGCTAATTTGCGCCTTTGTATGTGTTCCAGATATGCAAATACTACGGGACGCGTCGTGTCCCGCGCTCTCTCTGGGTGAACAATAGAACCTCGGCCTGGTGGGAGAACGTGGTGCCGACGTACACCGATGTGCAGTGGATCCAAGATTTCAGAATGTCCAAGCACGCTTTCCAATACCTCTGTAGTCGCCTGGAAGCAACGTTGGGGAGAAGCGACACCAACTTCCGGGAGTGTGTCCCTGTGGCTAAAAAAATCGCCATAGCACTGTGGAAACTTGCGACCAACTCTGAGTACAGGACCATCTCTCATTTGTTTGGAGTCGGCAGATCTACAGTGTGTTACTGTGTGCACGAGTTCTGCTTCTCTGTTGTGAGCATACTCCTTTGTGAGTTCATGCCATGGCCGAACGCTGAGAAGTTAGAGGAGATGGCGTTATTTTTGAGCGCAGATGGGGGTGTGCACAGTGTGTAGGTGCAGTAGATGGATCACACATCCCCATTCTGAGACCAGAGGAATACCACAACGAGTATTTCAACCGCAAAGGCTGGCACTCGCTCGTCCTGCAGGGTGTTGTGGATGGTAGAGGCCTCTTTTGGAATGTTTTTGTTGGCTTACCAGGTAGCATGCATGATAGCAGAGTGTTTGGCATGTCATCACTGTGTAGTTTTGCGGATAAGGGTGGTCTACTTCCTCATGTAACAAAGAATATTGGTGGACATGATGTGGGTTACTATATCCTT